CGGCTAGGCTCGCGGTGGACACCGAGGCTCCGGCGGCGTGAGGTGAGTGGCGGCGAGCGCGTGCGGAGCCCGAGGGCGTCGAGGGACGCGGGCCGGGCGCCCGCGGCGGCGCTCCATTTCGGCCCACCGCGCTCCTCCGGGCCTCGTCCCCGCCCGGCGCTCGGCTGCCGCCCCGCGAGGGGAACGCGGCCCCGCCAGGCCCCGGGGTCCCGAGCGCTGCTGCCCCGCGGCGGAGGGGAGGCCACTCGCTCCCCCGGGACGGCGCCGTCCCAGGGAGCTCCGGAGGGGCTGGAACTTGTGCGCGGCCGCTCCCACGGTCCCTCTCCGACCCCCGGGACAGAAATCCAGTTCCACTTGGCCGGGGAAGGCGGGTTTGTGTGTGTTTAGCGCATCATTTTTCTTGAAGGGCTTTAGAGTGAAAATATTTGCTTAGCTCTTCTTGAGTGACCGAGGAACAGGCATACTTCTTTCCTCGCGTACTTACTCTGCTTTCTAATTTGGCCTTAAATGCGATGTGCGTGCTCCAAGCTGTGGAATTTTTTCGGGGGGTGGGGGTGGGAAGCAGGGATTGAGGCGGGAAATGAGGAAGGAGAAACTCGGTGAGGAGGAACGCCCGGAGGTACAAATCAAATCGTGGAAGAGAGCCCGTGGTAGTTCTTTCCTTGTGTTGACCGGTAGATGTTGAAGTTTGAATTATATATATTTTTAGACGGTGGGTGGATGTTTGAACTGAAAGGAAGGAAACTTTGCTCTTTGAACAAGAGTATTTATTAAAGAGGTATCCTGAAGTCTTCCCAGGTGGGAACGATCAGCTGTACTGGGAAAGTTATTAAGTATATCGAAATACCAAAAGCCACAAGCACAGAAAATAAAAAGTTATTAAGAGGACCGATGAAGTAGTTTGAAGTGAGGGAGGCGGTGCAGACGTCCTGGAACACCGATTCCAGGGACGACTTCGTACCTTTGCCTCCTTGACTGTCTCCACAGGAAACTTTAAAGAGAAATATTTATTAATGTTTTGTGCCCCCCCCCCCCATGGCATACTTGTGGAGGTCAGAGGACCACTCTGTGGAGTCGGTTCTTTCCTTCCTTATGTGAGTCCCAGGGATTGAACTCAGGTCGCCAGGCTGGCCTGCTAACACCGCCCCCCCCCCCCCAGCCATTTCCCCAGCCCCGCATGGAACTGTTGTAAGTGGCTCTGCCATAGTTGGACATGGTGCTCTTATTCACGTTACAAATCAAACTGCTTGAGATTTTGTGTTTTGAGTACTGAAAAGCATTGCAACTGATACAGAATATTTCTTAACTCAGTTCCGAAGCGATTTTTACACCCAGAGTGGTGGCGCACACCTTTATTCCTAGCACTTGGGAGACAGAGGCAGGTGGATCTCGTCAAGACTCTGAGACCCTCGCCAGCCTGGTCTACATGCAACAGCCCAGCCAGCTGTCTCAAAAAACAAAACAACAAAACCTTGGTGATTGCATAAGTACAGAACATATGTAGAGCTTCCATAAATTCCATCAATGTTGCCTAAATAGATTTTGTTTTGGTTTTCCATGAAAACCTCTTATTACTGGGCATGGTGATGCCCTCTTGTAATCCTCAGCACTTGCCTGCGTTGTGAGGCTGAGACTGGAAGTTCAAGTTTAAGGCTAGCTTGGGCAGTCTAGAAAAATTTCTTTTGTGAATGTTGCTTGCAGTTTAATTTGTAGACAATGTCTTTTAATGTTTTCATAGGTTTTCAGTTGTAGAGAACTTAAAAGTTGGCATGTTGAGAAACTTGAACTTTCTGTAATCAATCATGTATTGAGAGAGAGAGAGTGAGGCTGAGACTGGAAGTTCAAGTTTAAGGCTAGCTTGGGCAGTCTAGAAAAATTTCTTTTGTGAATGTTGCTTGCAGTTTAATTTGTAGACAATGTCTTTTAATGTTTTCATAGGTTTTCAGTTGTAGAGAACTTAAAAGTTGGCATGTTGAGAAACTTGAACTTTCTGTAATCAATCATGTATTGAGAGAGAGAGAGTGTGTGTGTGTGTGTGTGTGAGAGAGAGAGAGAGAGAGAGAGAGAGAGAGAGAGAGAGAGAGATTGATTCTTTGTTCTATTTAGGAGTCTATTTTTTTTTTATTCAAGGTTGCTGCCCAAGTTTCTATGTCCAGGAGTCTTTAGTACATTTTTTAAAATGTAATTTTTGGGGGCTGGAGAGATGGCTCAGAGGTTAAGAACACTGGTGGTTCTTGCAGAAGACCCAGGTTCAAATCCCAGCACCCACAGGGCAGCTAACAACTGTCTGTAAATCCAGTCCCAGGGGATCTGACAGCCGCTTCTGACCTCCGAGGGCATTGCACAATACGGGTGCACTTACGTACATGCAGGCAATACACGCACACACATAAAATAAAAACAATTTTTTTTAAAGTTTGAAAAAAATGAAATTTTGATTTTTATTTTGAGTGACTTGCCTGCATATATACAAGTGCATCCATGCACGCAATGCCATGGAGATCAGAAGAGGCTATTGGATTCCCTGGAGCTGGAATTATAGACTTCAGTTGTAAAGAGGCCATGAGGGTGCTGGGGACTGTATCTGGGTCCTCTGCAAGAGCATCTAGTGCCCTTAACTGTTGAGCCATCTCCGGCTCCCTAGCACATTGTTTTGAATGTATTAAGCAGGTACATTTAGTAAGTGTGGATTTCTAAGAGCTCAGAGGTTGTTTTTTTTTTTTTTTTTTTATGTTTTTGAGACAGGGTCTCCCTGTAGCACCAGCTGGCCTGGGACTATAGGTGTGCTCCACCACACCTGGCAGAGCTCAGAGTTCTTATCGGAGCATCAAAGCAGAAAAGGCCCAAAGCATTTCAGAAATGCTCTGCAGCACACCTGTG